AAACATATTTAAGAAAAAAATTATGCATGTTTGTTTTATCATTTTATGTTTATGCATGACTTTTAAGTCCTGAAGATATAACGGGAATAAATTTACTTCTTATTTTTTCTAGAAATGTATTAGACGCAATGATCACTGTGGAGTGTGAGAACTGCTAGGTTTGAATTCGATGAGTTTAGACGTTCGTTTTGAATCGTGGCTCCGATACCAAGTTGTGAAGTTGCTAGGGTTTGGAGAAGAGAGATAAGAAGAATAGGAGAAATAGAAGATTATCAGAATATAATAGTGTTAGGTTAAAACTACACACTGTTTATATAATAGATACAAAATATTAAAATACCTCTAATCTACAAATAACACTATATAGCGTAACATCTTTAACGCGTAACATCTTTGATTCTCCATAGGATAATGATATATATCTAAAGTACCCATTATATAGGTTCTTACTATGAGCAATGCTAGGGATCCCAGATGGCATCCCAAATCAATAAGGGTCATTGGATTAATGGTTCCCATTTAAAAAGTTAACGGACCCCACTCATCCAATGATCCTTATTCATTTGGGATACAATTTGAGATCCCAAATTTGGGATCCATTGTATTTCCATTCTTACATTGAGTTTTAAGTACTACGAAATTTTGTGTGGGTAAAAGAGTGCGAATGCATGGTAGGCCTACCAATACATGTAACTTGAATTGTGTCAAAATTGGACCTCAAGAAATGTTGCTTGGGAAAGAAAAGAAGATAAAAAAGTGATGACAAATGGTCCTTTGTGGTCCAATGGTACTCATTGCCTTGTGAAGGAGCTGTCTTCTTGAGATCAAGGGTTTAAGTCCCATTCCCCCAACCCCCCACCCCCCCCCCCCCCCCCCCCCAAAAAAAAAAAAAGGTAAAAAAGTGACAGAGAAAAAAATGTTCATTTCAACTTATAGAGGGAACCGGGAAGCATTCACAAAGGAAAGTGTTTAATTTTCAAAGAATTACTAAATTATGCATAATGCCCATTTCATTAGTTTATTAATCTGGTGTAGTTTTATGTTTATCTCCATCAGTAGTCTTCCATCCGAACATATTCGCATTCAAATGAGGGCAAAGTTTGAATTTAAGGTGCCAACCTGTTGGCATTTGTTGGGTTTACTCTTTTTTTTCCCCCTCAATTTATTGAATAATGGGTTTTGAAGATATCACCTTATTTGTGATGTTTCGAAGATTGGTGTGAGGTTTAGTAGCCTCAGTGCCATTGGATTGTCTCTTATGATCTGGTTGGGCTTGGTTCCATGACTCTGCAAATCAGAATTACTAGAAGCGGCCGTGAAATGGCCTACCCGTTGCCTTTTGGTTCAAGCCTCATCAAATCTATTTTTCTACACGCCCTAACTATCGTAAGCTTGGATTCCTCACCCCCACTTGGCTGAATTTTCATTCCGACTTATTATAGTCCAAGTAAAGAATGAGGGGTGCCTTAAATGTGTGCTGTAGCACTCCTTATTTCTAGAAACTAGGAGAAGAATTACAAGAGGCGCAAGCTTGTAATCTTCGATTTTCCACCGTTTGACATGCACTTTTTCTCTTGTTTGATGCGACAACTTAGAAAAGCCCTTTTGCTCTTGTTTGATGACTTAAGGTCCAAACATGCCAAATATCTGTTAATTATACCATCTCAATTTAGCCTATACTACTTACAGACTCAGTTTTATTTGATTGTTCTATTCGTTGTCACTGACTCACCGAGTCTGAAATCTGAATAAAAGGTTACATGAACAGTAAAAGATAATTTGTGCTTCCAAACTTTTTCTGCCAGATCAATATTTTGAGTGTGAAAGGAATAAACATAGTTTGGCATAGGGAATCTCTTTTTGTGAATGAATATTTGTTACCACTTAAGACATAAGGCCTATAGTCAAGGACTTATCTCAATGATCAAGATATTGAAGGTCAACAGTGCGCTGTTGCCAGTGCTATGATCAGATCAGCAAAGGCACAAAAGGATTGCAATTTGCAATTTGAAATCTGAAATTTCCTCTTTTTGCCCTTCCGTAAGGCATGCATCACATGTTTTTCAACCTTGAAATAAACATATCTTTACGATCTAGTGAAGAGTTTTTTATGAGTACGAGGCACATACAACGTGTACCTTACTGCGAATCTCATACTGTTCTAGAGGTCTTCACTCAAAACTTGTGTTGAGAAATGCAAAGTTTCAGAAGGTTGTAAGGTGCCAAGCATGGGTAGTTGATGGCTTGGCCCTGGAGGTTGCGTTTAAGGGTTAGATTTCCTTTTCAGGCCTGTTTTGCACTCTTTCTCTTGGGTGTCAAAATAAATGCAGATATCTGACGTCTTTCTGTGTAGTTGAATCTTCTATTGTCTGCACTCGTAAAATGTTTCCATCTGTGTATCTTTATGGCTGCAAGTTTTCTTAATTGGATTCCAGTATTCATGTTTTGCGTTGCATATGCTCCTTTCATGAACTTAAATTGCTAAGTTTTTTGTTTGGCTTCCCCTACGTCTACTTCCCTGCCATTGTGGTTTTAACTTCTGTTCTGTTGGTTATTTCTGTATATTCCATTACTCCTACTACCTTTCTAAATTAGACGCTATATGCCTTCGATTTCTGATCTGATTTGTGGTTTCAGAAATGGATAAGAAGCGAACAAAAGGAAAATCAAAGAATGCACTTTCTGATAATAGTGGAGAAGATCCTCATGCTGATGTATCCACTAAATCAAAACAAAAGCGAGTGAGGTCTGAGATCCGGGAAAATGTGCCTGGTTCACCAAAAATGCCAAAGCGAACAGTTTCCTCCACCACCTCCAAGCATAAATCAATACGCTCGTCAGATAAGTCCATGATTGTTGAAGCTAAAAGAATTCAAGTAGTGAAAGATGAGGAAACAGCTATAAGCTCGACAACTGGCCAGGTTGATATTAAGCCAAACAGACGATTGACAGATTTCATCTTTCACGATGCAGATGGAAAGCCACAGCCTGTTGAGATGCTAGAAGTATGTGATTTATATGTTTCTGGTCTCATTCTGTCTTTGGAGGGACCTTCAGGCGAAGAGAAGGATACAGGGGTTCTATGTGAAGGATTTGGACCCCTTGAATCTTGGGCAATATCTGGGTATGAAGATGGTTCACCAGTCATATGGGTCTCCACGGAAATTGCTGATTATGACTGTGTTAAACCTGCCACCAGCTACAAAATGTTGTATGGCCTTTTCTTTGAAAAGGCTCGTGCATGTGTTGAAATTTATAAAAGACTATCAAAATCTTCTGGAGGCAATCCTGACCTTTGTGCTGATGAGCTACTTGCAGCGGTTGTCCGCTCACTGAGTGGGAGTAAAAATTTTCCTCGTGGAGCATCTATCAAAGACTTGATAATTTCCTGGGGTGGGTTCATATATAATCAGCTGATTGGCTTGGATGAGACATCCACCAACAATGATCAGATGTTTAGTGAACTGCCTGTTCTTGTTGCCCTTAGGGAAAATAGTAAGAAATGTAAGGATTTTGAGCCTGCAAAGACAGTTCCATCTGGAGTGGTGTTGAGAACAGATGTGAGAACTGGAGATGGCGACACAATGAATCAGTTAAATACCTCCACTTGTGCAACCGAGGAAGATGAAGATGAAGATATGAAATTGGCTTCATTGTTGCAGGAAAAAGAGAATTGGCAATCATTGAGGCATAAGAAAAGGCAACGTTCAGTTACTTCCTCTAACAAGTTCTATCTGAAGATCAATGAAGATGAGATTGCAAATGACTATCCGTTTCCAGCTTATTATAAAACCTCCATCCCAGAGACAGATGAGTACATAATATTTGACAATGATATGGATGCTTATGATCCTGATCAGCTTCCTCGAAGCAAGCTTCATAACTGGTCTCTTTACAATTCAGACTCGAGATTGATTTCATTGGAGCTTCTGCCAATGAAGCCATGTGCTGATATTGATGTGACCATTTATGGTTCGGGAATTATGACGGCTGATGATGGCAGCGGATTTTGTCTTGATGCTGACTCCCATCTTTCTTCTTCTAGTTCTTCCGGGTCACAGGATGTGGACGGTATCCCAATGTATTTGAGTGCAATAAAGGAGTGGATGATTGAATTTGGATCATCAATGGTCTTTATTTCAATTCGAACGGATATGGCCTGGTAAGCTACATAATTATGTTGAATTTTGAAGTACGTAGTTCTGCACACCTTGGATCCCTCCATTCATGGTTAGAATGAGGAAAATCTTGTTTTTTTCCTTGACTTTCGGTTCACCAAATATTTCAGCACCTCACAGGTTTATTATATATGAGCACAGTCATTAGTATTCTCCCTCGGGCAGGCTGAAGGGTGTATGATACCTAAAGATGAGAATATATATAATATATGAAGTAAGGTAGGGTTTTTTTATTTTATGACAAATGCAACACCATTATTCGAACGGATATGGCCTTGTAAGTACAAATTTTTTGTTGAATTTTAATATTCTTTTCATCTCCCAACTACTTAATTTAATGCCTTTTTCAAATGTCTCAACATTCTCCCAACCACCTTCTTTGATACATCACTAGAAACTTCTACCCAACAAACAATTAGAAATTGGGCTAAGTTAAGCCTTAGGCTTATTACTACATTGGGCCGAACTAAAATAAAAATAAATACTAATTTCTGTTCTACATCACAGTACGTCTTGTATCCCTCTCTTCACAGTTAGAATGAGGAAAACCTTGCTTGTTTTTTTCTCAACTTTCTGTTTCCCACCTATTTCCACGCATCACAAGCTTCTTATATATGAAGCACAATTACCAATATGCTCCCCCAGGCAGGTTCAAGGGTGTATGATACCTAAAGATCAGAAGATGTTTATCTAAGTACTTAGAAGTTTTTCTTTTTAAATTTAAGACGAATGCCCATACCACGGAGTGGTGTAAAAAATTTAGTACGGACCTTTGAGGTCTTTCAATTGAAAGAACCCAATTGACTTAATCTTCCCCTTTATCTTGAAGAAAACTACAGGCCTAGTCTTTCAGAAATGTTTGAGTAGAGAGAGATCAATTTATGATGTATGGTTATGTAGTCTTCTTTCTGTTTCTTTCAGGTATCGCCTGGGAAAGCCATCAAAGCAGTACACTCCCTGGTATGAACCAGTTTTAAAAACAGCGAGGCTTGCAATTAGCATCATTACATTGTTGAAGGAGCAGAGCCGAGTATCACGTCTCTCTTTTGCAGATGTCATTAAGAGTGTGTCTGAATTCAACAACGATCACCCCTCTTACATTTCTACCAGTCCGACTGTCGTGGAGAGGTATGTGGTAGTTCATGGGCAGATAATACTGCAACAATTTGCTGAGTATCCTGATCATACTATTAGGAAGTGTGCTTTTGTGAACGGTCTTTACGAGAAAATGGAAGAACGACATCATACCAAGTGGTTAGTGAAGAAAAAAGTGATATTGAAGAAGGAAGCAAATATGAACCCAAGAGCAACAATGGCGCCCCTAGTCTCAAAAAGGAAGGCAATGCCAGCTACAACAACCAGACTAATTAGTAGAATTTGGGGGGAGTACTACTCGAATTACTTGCCTGATGACTCGAAGGAGGATAATGGTCAAGAACTGAAGTATGATGAAGTTGAGGAAGAAGAAGAAGAAAATGAAGAGGAAGACACTGAAGAGGTAGAAGAACAGAAAATCCTACTGCCCGAGGAAATTAAGAAACCTCAATTAGCATCAAAACATAGGAAAACAGATTATTCTACATCAGAAATTGTATGGGATGGGGACACAGTTGGAAAAACATGTGCAGGTGAGGCTATTTATAAACAAGCTATTGTCCGTGGGAATGTGGTTGCTGTAGGTGGTTCGGTGCTGGTGGAAACAGCTAACTCGAATGAATATCTTCCTATCTATTTTGTAGAGTACATGTTTGAAGACTTTGATGCCAGGAAATTGGTTCATGGAAGATTAATGCTAAGAGGATTTCAGACTGTTCTTGGCAACACTGCTAATGAGAGGGAGGTATTTCTGACAAATGATTGCTTGGAATTTGAGCTTAGTGATGTTAAAGAACCTGTGGTTGTGGAAACACGATTAGTGCCTTGCGCCTATCAACATCGTAAGGATAATGCCAATAGGGATAAGATTGAGAGGGCAAGAGCAGAGGATAGGAAATGTAGAGGATTGCCCATGGAATACTTTTGTAAAAATTTGTACTGGCCTGAGAGAGGTGCCTTCGTTTGTTTGCATACTGATAAAATGGGTCTTGGTACTGGGCATTGCCACTCGTGTAAAATAAAACAATCCCAGAATGAGAACGTCTTTATGTTAAATCCAGCGATGACAAGTTTTGCATACCATGGTACTGAGTACCATGTTCATGACTTTATCTATTTAGGTCCTCATCATTTTGCAGTGGATCCAAGGGACAATGAGACTTTTAAGAGTGGGAGGAATGTGGGTCTTAAAGCGTATGTGGTTTGTCACTTGCTGGAAATCGAAGTGCCTAAGTCTCCTAAACAAGCTGACCTTGAAACTGTGAAGGTCAAAGTTAGGAGGTTTTTCAGACCAGAGGATATTTCAGCAGAGAAAGCATACCGCTCTGATATTCGAGAGGTAAGACTACTTAGGAAATCTTCAATCTTGTTCTCCTTTGTTAGTGGAAGTATTTGAACCCAAAACTTGTATTAATAATATTTTCTCAAATACATCTGGTAGATGTGCAAGCTACGTGCAGATATGCTGCGTGCATATAGCGTGCAGGCACGCCAGAAGAATAGGTTGTGAATGTTCACATTGTCCTATCAATTGCAAGTTTGCAACTTATGTTTTTCCGAAATATGATTTTCCATGTCTGATCTTTTCTGAATTTTTCTCTTAATTATTTAAAAATTTCTTCTTTTAATCTATATGAATGATTTAGACTTGCTCTGAAGTACCTCAAAATTGTGTTTTCAGGTTTATTACAGTGAAAAAATAGTCATGCTACCCATAGCTGCTATAGAAGGAAAGTGTGAAGTTAGAAAAAAGCAAGATCTTCCATCTCTGGATAGCCCCTATATCTTGGAGCATGTTTTCTTTTGTGAACATCTCTATGACCCTGAGAAGGGAGCTCTCAAGCAGGTGGTTTCTTTTTCTCTATTGTGCAGAACACATTATTGTTAATAGCCATTTATAGAGTGCTTCAACTTGTTATTCCCACTCTATACAGGTTTGATATTCAGCCGAAAACTTTCTTCTCTCTATTTTGTTATTTGTTGTAGTTTTTTATATGGTTTTTTTCTCTTTTTAAGCATGATGAAATTTATCTTTTTAGCTATGGTTTCATCAAATAATCTCCATAAACTTACATGTTGTGGACAGTTGCCAGCTTGCATTAACCTAAATCCCTTTGGAGAAAGGATAATTAACGATGCTGCAAGTAGAAAGATAAAAGGGAAATATAAAGAAGGAGAAAATGATTTAAACATCATTGAAAAACAAAGTGATTTGAAGAATTGCCTGGCCACACTAGACATTTTTGCTGGTTGTGGCGGATTATCTGAAGGTTTACAGCAATCAGGTAACCATAAATTTAGCCTCCCAGCCTAGTCCATATTTTGAAGTATTCAGCTGCTTGTCCAATATTTTGAATGCTTACAGGTGTATCAGTGACCAAGTGGGCAATTGAGTATGATGAACCTGCAGGCGAAGCATTTAACCTTAATCATCCAGAGGCATTGACATTCATTGATAATTGCAATGTGATCCTCAGGTTGAAGCTCTCTCTTGGATGAAGTTAGCATTTGCATTGTTTTTATATGCTCCAAGCTTTATAATGGTTTTTTTTTTCCCCATATTTAATTTGGCAACCTTTTATATAGGCATTCTGTCTCAGTAAATCATCAATATCTGCTCTGTTCTCTCACCATCTTATATCAGTAATCAATGAATTGAAATACAGGGCTATCATGGCAGCATGTGGGGATTCAGATGACTGTATTTCAACTTCTGAGGCTGCTGAGTTGGCTTCAAAGCTTGATGAAAAGAAGATTAGTGTTCTGCCTCGCCCTGGACAAGTGGATTTCATAAATGGAGGGCCACCGTGCCAGGTATATAGTGGCCACTACCCTTCTCGTTTACAGATTTTCTATAAACATTTTCAATGGGGCATTTAAGGTAGTTATTCTTGTATATGTAACTTTTCTTTTCCTGCAGGGTTTTTCTGGGATGAACAGGTTTAATCAGAGCACTTGGAGCAAGGTTCAATGTGAAATGATCTTGTCGTTCTTGTCTTTTGTTGATTACTTCCGGCCCAAGTTTTTCCTCCTTGAGAATGTGAGGACGTTCATATCTTTCAATAAACGGCAGACATTTCAGTTAACTTTGGTTTCTCTCCTTGAAATGGGTTATCAGGTACATGCATATATTTTACCTACAAATGGGTTATCAGGTACATGCATATATTTTACCTACTATTAATTTGAGCCCCTCACCCAGAAGGCAACTAACTAGGTAACCAGCTAATAGAATCATTGAGGATTGGAGAATGTCTTTGTTATCCATGATAAAGTGGACATAACACAGTACTTCATTTTCTTCTTATTGCTTCGCCGAAAAATATTGTTGAGGTGATAACTGCTAAAACTGGAATCCTGTTGAAAGAGGCATATATGGGTACCTCATGGATGACTTACCTTGGTTGTGCTCCTCATCCATGTTATATAAATTTATATATGTTTATGAACTCCTTCACTTATGTAAAAGTCTTTTCTATTACATACTAGATGGCAAGGATAATTTAATTTTTCATGACGTACTTTTCATTATTAGTTTGTCTTTTGGTAGGTGAGGTTTGGAATTTTGGAAGCTGGGGCATATGGTGTTTCTCAATCACGTAAACGTGCATTCATATGGGCAGCATCTCCTGAAGAGACACTCCCCGAATGGCCAGAGCCTATGAATGTTTTTGCGGGTCCAGAACTTAAGATTACATTAAATGCAAATATCCACCATGCTGCCGTTCGAAGTACTGCAACTGGTGCCCCTTTTCGTGCAATAACTGTAAGAGATACTATTGGTGATCTCCCGGCTGTTGGAAATGGGGCTTCAGTTACAGCTATGGATGTAGGGTCTCTTTTCCATTTCTGAGGACATTTCTTCTGTTGGTGACGTTTTTTTTTCTTCTGTTGTTCCTTACCTTTTTCCCTTATATTTTGTTTCACAGTACAAGAATGAACCTGTCTCTTGGTTTCAAAAAGGGATTCGAGGAGGTATGCATGTCTTAACTGATCATATTTCCAAAGAAATGATTGAGTTAAATCTCATTCGGTGCCAAAGAATTCCCAAACGTCCAGGTGCTGACTGGCGTGACCTCCCAGATGAGAAGGTACTTTTTGATATTCCAGAGGAAATAAATATATATTGCGTATAACCAAACATGCTTGACTTTTACATAAAAGGTGACTGTCTTGCCTCGTAGTGTTATACCGAGCTGTAATATCACGTGCAAGTCTCATATTCGCAATGTAACACATCTGAAACTAGCATATGGATGCTTTTAATGTTTTAGTGAAATTGTTAGGGTATCGCTGCCTTATTTCAAACTTCTTTTCGTTTCTCCAGGTTCTGTTATCGAATGGACAGGTGGTTGACTTAATACCCTGGTGCTTACCAAACACAGCCAAGAGGCATAACCAATGGAAGGGACTTTTTGGTAGGTTGGACTGGGAAGGAAACTTTCCAACCTCTATCACTGATCCTCAACCCATGGGAAAGGTTGGAATGTGCTTTCACCCTGAACAGGATAGGATACTCACTGTCCGGGAATGTGCTCGATCTCAGGTAAGCATCTTTTCTGCATTTTTTGAAGAAATTGTCAAACTTCTGCAATTGACTTTGCCATGGTGATGGGGTAACTATTTTACTGTGGTGGATAGAACAAAATAGTTCTGTATTGTTCATTGCTGGTTCCTGATTTATAAAATGTTATTTCATGTTGTGGATACAGGGTTTTCCTGATAGCTATAAATTTGCTGGAAACATTCAAAATAAACATAGGCAGATAGGCAATGCTGTCCCTCCTCCTTTGGCCTTTGCGTTGGGGAGGAAACTCAAGGAAGCAATAGAAGGAAAATGCTCAACAAAGTGGCATTGCGCTGATCTGGCCAGTTAGTTTTCTGCTCATTTGGGTTGGTAACTGGAGGTGAATATTTGCAAATCAAACACAATACTTCTGTAAACACAGACAAATTGTTTTTGGTCCTCAAAAACAATATTATAGAGTTAGATACACAGAAGAGTTCACCAGGCATACCCCTCTTCATTTGTAGTGAAAAATTGTAAAGGTAAACATACCTCTCTTCATCTCTGGTCAAAACGCCAAATGTATTGTTGATTATTGGAACTGAGGTAATAAATGGAATTCACTGCAGCAAGTTTTATTTCTGATTCTCTAATGCTTTAGAAGCTTTGTCATGCTCTCATAACATAGTGATGTCAAACATGCCGTGCCAGCTCGGCCTATTAACGTTCGTGCTTCGTGCCGTGCCAGTGCCATTTTCGTGCATGTGCTGTGTCTGGGTTATGGATGTCTCGTGCTCGTGCTCGTGCTCGTGCTCGTGCTCTCGTGTGCTACTTGTAAGAAATGATAAAGAAGTACTTCTTGTATTGTTTGTATACGTAGATTGATATGAATTGTACACGAGAAAGTTAACGAATTATTAATATCGTCTAAAGTAATATGAAGTGACAAGCTTAAATTTTCAGAAATTCCATTAAATAGCACCTCTGCACCAGCCAATTTTCTGTTAGGATCCTTTACCGCAACTAAATAAAAAATAAGTGGCATGTACTCCCAATATTTTTAAAAATTTTCTTCCCTTATGGAACAAATGTCTACAAAAAAATTATTCTCTCTATATGTATTGATAGTATTAGAAGTGTTGTACAATTGATTAAGAACAACACATGAATTAGGATAATAAACACTTTGCACTATAGAAAACTTTCAACAATTATAAGAAAATAAACCCAACTCCCAATTATGTGAGGTCATATAAATATCATGAATTTCGCATTAATAAAATTTGTAATTACATGATGATAATCTATACTACTAATAAAAGTACCTTAAGTGAAAAACTTTTAATTCACTATTTTACCCTCATAAAAAATTTTAAATACTACATTATCTTTTCAAAGTGAAATATCTAAATTACAATCACCACCTTATGTATAAAATTTTAATTATTTATTATCTTTGTATAAATATCAATATTTATGAAAAATTTTAATTGACTTCGCAACCTTTAAAAAAATATATGCATCATTATAGTTTTCAATAACGTATTTAAAAAGTCTATCAATAGATCATTACTCTTTTCAAATAAAAAAATTAATATTATGTCTATATATATGTATTTTTTTCTATCTATACTATTAATAAAAATACTTTAGAATGAAAAACTTTTGATTCACTATTTTACTCTTATAAAAAATTTTAAATACCATATTATTCTTCCGTAGTTGAATATCTAAATTACCATTATATACTTATATTTCTAAATTTCTAAATTATACCTAGCATCTCTTTTAATTCTCTATTCACTATATATAAATATCATTATCTATGAAATTTTTTAATTGACTACGTTACCCTTAAAAAATATATGCATCACTATAGTTTTTAATAAAACGTTCAAAAATTTTTCAAAAATTTCATCAATCTAACATTACTCATTTCAAATATAAGGATAACATTATGCTTATATATGTATATTTTTTTATCCAAAATTTCAATAATTTCATTTTTAAGATAAAAAATAATCTTTTACGTAGTTTTTTTTTTTTTAAAATAATTTATGTTAAATCAACAAAATTTTTCAACCACAATAAACTTTTCATATTTTATTAAGAGCTTATATAAAAAAAATAAGTATATTTTTTAGTAAAACTTGAATTTTAGAATTTTAATATTCTTTTAAAATATATTATATTTTAGGGTTAATAACACTTTTAGTCCTTCAGATATACATGCTTTATCAGTTTGATCCTCATTGTATTGATTTTTGTCAATTTGGTCTATAAAGTATTTTGTTATTGTTTAAATGACCTATATACAGACAATCTGTTAAGTTTTTGACATAAGTGATTTCGTGTTGATCACGTGATATTATATGACGAAATAACATGCGGTTACTTTTGTCAAAAAATTTAATGCACCGTCTGATTAAGAACCATTTCAATAAGAATTAAATATTTTATGGACCAAATTAATAAAATAATATATTGAGGATGAAATTGACAAAAAGGAATACTTTAGAGACCTAAAGTTTTATTAACCCTATATTTTATCCCTATTGATCTAACTAATTCCTAAACAATTATTTTTATTTTATTCAATGAATTATAAGTTGAAACCTAATCAAATGAATTTAAATGAATTATATTTATTTATTTTTATAATTAAAACAACGAATCACTGGGAATAGACAATATTTTTTGAATTTTATAGTATAATACGAGCAATAAAAATATAATTTTGATAAACTTCAAATTATATTTAATGTAGACACACATATACTTAATACTTTTTATTAATATTTTGTATACGAAAATTATTCACGTGCAACACACGTGATGCATTGCTAATAACATAAGAAATGTAGGGTACCAATGAGTTTTAATATCAGATATAAACTTTCTAGATTTTTAGACCATATGTTTTACATAAATAAAACAATTCTTGTTGCCTAGAAGGAGATGAAGCAATAAAAAAAATTGACTTCCTAATTTTTTATATATGCTGCTTAATTAATTTTAAGCCATCTTGAATAATCAAATTAATTATATGACAGGCACATTTTACAAGAAACAATTCATCACCCAAAGGATGATGAAAATTATGTTTAAACATTTCAATTGTAGTATTATTAGCAAAATGATTCTCAAAAGTAATACTAAAAAGTTTATCATACAAAAAATAATAATTTTTATACGCAACACCCAACTTGAATCAATAAAATGTACCGTAACACAGATAAAACATAGCTTATTGTGGCCAGTCCCTAAATCAAAAGTACAAGATATTAATCATAAAACCTTTAAACATGAAGTAGTATTTCTAGAAACATTAGAATAAGAAGGGTTAAGATGATTTAATAAAGTTTTCAAATCTAACATCTTCAGCAAAAGTAAAAGGTTACTCTACTGAAGCTATGTATTTGGCAAATCATTCTTTCATTTCTTCTTGAGAGTATGAAAAAGTTGACAAATTACTTCTGGTTTGAGTAAGTGGGGTTTGTCTAGGGTCATTGCCACCACTATGTTTTGTCAAGCCATTATTACTTTTGCAACTCAACTCAGTTTTACAATAATTGCATATAGCCATTTTTTTCCATATTCCCAACTTTATTTTTTATTTGTTCTTTTATTTCACACTTCAGACGTGTGAGTCCTTGTTCCCCTACCATGAGTACTAGTTGCACTAGGTTTGTTTGAAGGTTCACTTGAACTTTCCTGCACATCATTAATTTCATTAAATTCACAAAAATCTAAATTTTCAAATTCAAATTCCTAGGGTCAATTTTCAATTCAAAATAAGTAATTACAATTAAAGCACGTAATTAAATTAAATATCTCAACCAAATTTGAAGTGATTGAAGATGTAGATCCGAACTTGTAATTGAAGATGTAGATGCAGACATGTAATTGAAGATGTGGATATAGATTAGTAATCGAAGACGTTGATGTAGCTATAAATTGCAACTTATACTTGTAGCCTTGTACATGGAAATGTGTACACTAATGTTGGGTGAAAGTGAGTAATTTGATGAGAAAGAAAAGAAATGAGGTAAGATATTTATAGAGAATTTAAAAATATTGGATTTCAAATTTACCCCTCAAACTAGCTGTTAGGATAGGTAAAAATGGCATATAGAAGTTAAAAATTATAAATTCTAGATTTACCCCTTAAACTAGGCGTTATATAGTTGTAAGGATGGGTAAAAATAAAATTTTTTGCCAAATTTTTAAAAATATTGGGCTAAAATAGCAACCGACACGAGGGGTGTGCCTATGCTTGGGTTAGCCCATTTTGAATCGTGTCAAGGCGGGCTCACCTTAAGCCGTGTTGTGCTCGTGCCAGCCCAACTCAGTTTACATCTCTTGTCCTCTCTCTGCATAGCCTAATGTAATGTCATTGAAAATTTCAACATGCGTTAAAAGTAATACATTACAAGTTCGAGTCTGAAAATGAACAACTTACAAAATAAGGGTAAAACTCAATATTATTTTCTTTTTCCAAGCCTGCTATAAGCAAGAGTCGTAGGAAGGACTGTCAACGGAGTGGGTTTTGATCGGATTCTGACTAATTTGAATTCGAATCCGACGAATTTTATTTTCGTGGTTCATGTCCAAATTCGTTAACAATCTAAAAACCTGATCCGATCTAAATAACTTAATTAACTAAATTTTAACAAATTATACCTAAATTTTTATAAATAATCACTTAATTTTTTTTAATATTTATATAAAAATATATAAATAATCTGATCGTAATTTAATTGAATATAGGTATATTCAAATTCAAATTCGTGAAATATAATTTGGATTCGAGTTCGGATTATTAATAAAAAAATATTAATTCATATCTGGTTAATCGAATTCAGATTTAGATTAAAATCCGATCCATTGATCAACCTAATCTTGGGTATTGAGTACAATTTTTTTAAGTGGTGCCTTAGGTTTAGGGAAAGTGATCATTAAGGTTTTTCACCTTCACAAAAAAGGGCTTTTGAACCTTCATTGATTCTGATATTTGTAAATTTTGTTTGTTGCATGTAAATGTAGCCTACTTTTGATAATCCAACTCAAGCATGTCACTTTAGGCCAGACTCAAAAGTTTTAAGCTATGTGAGAGGTTAACCCATATTTTAGCACATAAATTTAGGGGAAAAAGAGAAGCCAGAAAAATATAGACTTATTTATTTGTACTACTAATAATAGTGGCTTAAGTGAAAAACTTTTGATTTTCTTATTTATCCTTCAATAATTCTATAATATCTACTTTATCTTTTTTAAAGTGACTTAGGAGAAAAACTTTTGATTTTTTTATTTATCCTTTAAAAATTCTATAATGTCTACTTTATCCATTTTTTAGGATCTATTTCTATCTATATCTATATTCCAATTATAAAAATGACTTAAGTGAAATTTTTTTGATTTTCTTATTTATCCTTCAATAATTCTATAATATCTAGTTTGTCCTTTTTAAAGTGGCTTAAGAGAAAAAGTGACTTAAATGAAAAACTTTTGATTTTCTTATTTATCCTTCAATAATTCTATAATGTTTACTTTATCATTTTTAAAGTGGCTTAAGTGAAAAAGTTTTGATTATCTTCTTTTCAAACAAATATAAATTCGATTCAAATCCGATTTGAAAAATGTGA